CCATGCATCTGTTGTGCTATTCAGTAGCCCTGTTGAATAATTTTCCTCTAGCAGCAGTTTTCCTGCCCAGGTTCAGTCTGATGAAAAATTGATGGCTGGGTTCATTCAGGGTTGCAGTTTTTGTAGGCAGTTTCAACCAAGGAGAGTCATTGAAATGATAGGTTCTGAAACCCATGTTGGATAGAAAGGGAGACAGATGAGGGCTCAGAGATAGGGAAGTGAGGAGCCAATGTTTGTAGGTTTCAGTGAGGTCATATACATTGCAGTGGGGATATTTGAGCAAGCAAACTGAAAAGATAAAAATGAGGTGTTTGAATTAGCCATTTTGATGGTAGAGAAGTTTCAGATGCTGACACTAGCAAATTAAAATATTTATGTTAAAAATTTGAGGGCTTGACTACAGAACATAGAAAGATATTTGCTTGCAAAACATTTATAAAAGGACTCATCCAGAATTTATTTTAAAAAAAAACTTACAAATCAAAAAGCAATCAGTCTAATTGAAGATGGGCCAAGGATTTACATAGGCACTTTACGAAAGAGGATATCAAAATGGCTAATAAGCATGTGAAAAGATAATCAACTTCATTAATCATCAGGGTAATGCAAATACAAATTATGATACCTCCTACTTGTTGATAGCTACAGTCGAGTGGATTCTGACTCATGGCGACCCCGTGTGTGCAGATTAGAACTGCTCCTCCATAGGGTTTTCAAGACTGTGAACCTTTTTGTAACAGATCACCAAGCCTATCTTTTGAGGCACCTCTGGGTGAGTTTGAACCACCAAGCTTTCGGCTAGTAGTCAAGCACTTAACCGTTTTCACCACTCAGTGACTCCTCTACCTCCTGCTGCTGTTGTTGTTGTTAGGTGCCATCAAGTCAGTTCCAACTCATAGTGACCCCGTGTACAACAGAATGAAACACTGCCCAGTCCTGCACCGTGCCCACAATCACTGTAATGCTTGAGCCCGATGTTTCAGCCACTGTGCCAATCCCATCTCGTTGAGGGTCTTCCTCTTTTTTGCTGACCTACCTCCCACTAGAATAGTTAAAATGAAAATGACAATACTATGAGCAACTACATCTCACCTACACAGTCGATGGGAGTGTAAGTATGAAAATGACAGTACCATGAGCAACTACATCTCACCTACACAGTTGATGGGAGTTAAGTACAGCCTTTTTTTTTTTTTTGGGAACGAAAGGGGGAGAGTGCTGTCATGTTGCAGAAGTTGCAACCAATGTCAAAAAACAATATGTGTATCTTAGGCTGGGTTCTCTAGAGAAGCAAAACCAGTAAAGCATGTAAATATATATGTAGAGAGAGATATCAAAGAAGTGGCTCACGCAATTGTAGAGGCTGGAATGTCCCAAGTCCATGGTCAGGATAGAGGCCTCTCCTGATCATGTAGCTGAAGGGGCTGGTGAACCCAAGATAGGCAGGTTAGACAGCAGGGCTCTTGCTCAAAGGCTGCGAAAATCGATGAATCCCAAGATCGGCAGGCAAGACGGCAAGAAAGCTATTAGCTCAAGGCCCGAGAACCAGAGGTCAAATGAACAGCAGCCAGCTGCAGGATCCAGAGTGAGCAAAAACCCACAAGCCTAGCCAGAAAGTTCCACTTATATTTGATGTAGGCCAAACCCTCAAGGAAACTCCCTTCAACTGATTGGCTACTCACAGCAGATTCCATCATGGAGGTGATCGTATTATATTGAATCTCATCATGGAAATAATAATCACATCATCGTACAACTGCCAAACTGCATCATAGCTGCCAAACCGCTGAGAATCATGGCCCAGCAAAGTAGACACACAACCTTAATGATCACAATGTGTATAAATTTTTGAATAAGAAACTAACTTAAGCTGTAAACTTTCACCTAAAGCACAATAAAATTATTTTTTAAAATGGATACCAACTTTGCCCCCATAGGATTGAGCACCATTTGCCTGTAGTGATGTCCAATCACCTGGGGATTCCTAGGTGGTTCTTATGTATAACTTCCTGGGAACTTGTCAGAAATGCAAATTCTCAGCAGGAAACTTGCTAGAAGTGCAAATTTTCAGCAGGGGGTCGAACTAGAATGAACCAGTTCTAAGTCCTGGTTTGGACTTCCCTCCTTCCTTGTTTCAACATTCATTTCCCTCACTCTGACTCACTAGGACCATGTCCCAGATAAACAAACTACTGACATGCAAACCCTTGTATCAGGCTCCCTTTTGTGGACACTTAGGCTAAGGCAACTGCCAATAATTACATGTCTGTCTTATATAAGTGCAGCTAGTAAAGCCATTTTGGAAAACTAGCAATGCCTATTAAGACTGAACATACATATTTTCTTGACCCAGTAATTCCACTTCTAGATATACATAGACCCAACAGAGATGCCTGTTACTGTGCACCAAAAAACATGTAACAAGAATGTTCATAGGAACATTCTTCTTCATAGCCAACAACCACAGTTGAAATAAATTCTGTATGTTTATACAGTGGAATAAGAATGGATGAACTACAGCATGTGTGTGGATGTTTATATTACACAAATATATCGTTGTGTGAAAGAAGCCAGACACAAAAGAGGGCATACTGTATGATCCATTGCTACTAAGTTCAAAAGTGGCAAAGCTAATCTATTGAGTTAGAAGTCAGGATAGTGGTGACCTTTTGGCAGGGAAATGGTGACTGGAGTGGGACTTGAGGGGGCTCCTGGAGTTCTGTTTCTTGATCTAATTTGTTGGCTACATGGGTGTATTTACTTTGCGAAAATTCATTCATCTATACGTTTGAGATTTGTGCATTTTATCTGTAGGTTACCCTTCAATTTTAAAATTTACATTAAATCAGAAGGTTTGAGAATTTTAGAAATGATAGTTCACATTTTCCACTTGCCAAGTCTCCCTTGAACTAAAGATTTCAACCTGTTAGAAAATGTAGATGTTCACTCCAAGGCTGGAAAGTGAACCAGCCTGGCTTCTGCCCTCCTTACTGTGTCTTCAGGGCAGTAAAGAACTCTCAACAGCAACAATTAAGCACCTCTGGCAGCATACTTGAAGTCATTATGAGTTTTTATCCTTTCACCTTGCATACACTATTTCAGGTTACGTGGACTGCATATATGTTATATGTAAAACTATGGTTTAGAGCTTATAGAACCCCACCTTTTTCACTTTTCTCGGGGTGGCACACTGTCATCCCACAGATCAGATCTGGTTTTCAAGTTTGATTGAAGAGAGTTCCCTGGGATCCAGCTGTGAGATGTAAGAGGCACATTTGAAGATGCTTGAATGAGCATTAGTTGTAATTGATGCTTATTGTTTTGGCTGCATGTTGTTATCCATGTTGCTGTTTTAGTAACTTAGTTTCATCTTTCAGTGGAATTTGTTTGGTTTAGTCTACATTGTGCTCAGATTGATGATTGAAAACCTTACACTTTCATGGAACACTGCTTCATAGCTTTTCCCTTTTCTGCTATTTTTATATTGCATGAATCATTGCACATTTAGGCCATCTGCAGGGCCTGAATGGCGTGAAATAAAATGCTGCCATCACTTAGATTGACGTTTGAGAAGCTGGTATTCATTTGGAGTTTATTCCTGATTATCCTTATATATTTTAAAGTCTCAAGTTTCACTTCAAGATGGTTGCTAAAATCTCTGAGCCAGAAGTATCTCTGATTCTGTTTTTTTTAGCCGGAACATTGGGTCAAGAATCTGTTAGGGACTCAGTTCTGTCTCAGTTGAGATAATAAGAACAGCAAGTTCCACTCCTGTGTTAAAAGGTTTAATCTGTTCAGCAGGCCATCCAGTTTGACATGGACTTCATAGGGGAATAGTAAAAACAAGGGTTTTAAATTGCTAGATTAATACTTCAAAATAAATGTCTTTTTGCATGCCTAGAATATGTCACACCTATTAGATATTTGTCAGAAATGTATCTCACTTAGCAACCTCTTGGGGGTATAGGGGGAAAAAATGGAGCCCTGGTAAAGAGCTCGACTGCTAACCTAAAGGTCTGTGGTTGAAACTCACCAACCGCTCCTTGGAAACCCTATAGGGCAGTTCTACCCTGTCCTGTAGGGTTGCTATGAGTCGGAATTGACTCGGACAGCAATGAGTTTTATTTTCTTTTTTAGAGGGGAAAGAATTGGATGAACACATGTTTGGGATGCTGCAAAAGAGATTCAGGGTTGAAAACGCGCACCTATAGTCACTTATACTCTTTCACTATAGATATATGCATGTCGTGTAGTTAGTCAGGGACCGTAAAAGCCTTTGCCAACTGTTAGTTTCTGGTGCGCAACGCAAGTTTGCTCCATGGTGCAGAAGGAAGGGTTTCCCTGTGCTAAAGTTAGCTGGAATTGCATAAATTATGGAGAGTAGAAATTAGTTTCAGAGTAAGAAGCTTCAAACAAACTGCCCATTGTCGCAAGATGTCTCCTCTTCGTAAATAATATTATAATACATTGGCAACACAGTACTGATAAACTCTGAAACTAACAGATTGAAACATAAAAATATTCCCTTATTTCATTTATTTGAGAAAGCCTGAGACGATAGACCAAAAACACACTTATTTCTACAACTAGGCACAAGAGACTCTTTATTTTCTAAATAGAAACATCTCAAAAATAGAAAGCTCTACTAGGAGTCTAAAAATAAAGGTAATATTTTTACATCTTTAGTTATCCTAATGTATTTCCATGTGATCTTAGGTACCTCGCTTTGTCTTTCTGTGTCCCTTGTCTCCCATGTTGCTACTGTGCTGTCTAAATATTCAGAAGACCTACATTTTGCTTGTAGATGATAGCATTTTGAACATAGATGACATCTTTGGGTTTTGTTTTTTTTTTCATCTTTGAAGGGACAGCTATAATTTTGCCTAAAGACACACTGTTTGGGAATGGTTGGAGTGAAGGAGGGCTTTAATTGTTACACGTAATTCTTGTGGAATAATTGTATTTATTTTTCATTCACTGTTGTTTATTTCTTTGCTTAGCAGACAGAAGGGGGAGCACAGACAGACGGTCAGCAGTCACAGACACAAAGTAGTGAAAATTCAGAGAGTAAATCTACCCCTAAGCGACTGCACGTCTCTAATATTCCTTTCCGCTTCCGGGACCCTGACCTCCGGCAGATGTTTGGGGTAAGTCTCTGAATCTTCTTGTGGATTTTAAGTTGAAATATAATTTAATCCATCAAATATGTTATTAGCCATTAGTACTTTGGGATAAAACTACAGATAGATGGAGAAAGATCCAGAGGTATGTCAATATTCTCATCAGTCATTAGAAACCTTTTCCTATCACCTGGTCTACTCTAGACGTTAACCTTTGCAGGTTCTCACAGACATAGGATGATCATATGTCATATTTCCCTGGGACTGAGGGATTTCTTGGGATGTGGGGCTTTCAGTGCTAAAACCAGGAAAGTCCCTGACAAACCAGGGTGAGTTGGTTGCCTGACTCTCACACCAAACTTAGTAAACTTATTAATAAAATGCTTAGAGCAGACATACACATTTTTTTAGAGTAGTGATTCCTAATAAACTTGTCTGCACATTAGTAGTCACCTCCGGAGCTTAAAAATACTGATGCCTGTGTCCCACACCCAAAGATTGTGACTTAATTGGTCTGGATGTGGCTTGGGCTTGGGCATTTTTATAAGATTCCCCTAGATGATGCTAATGAACAGATAAGCTTGGAGTCCACTGCTTATTCATCCTGTAACATTCCTTTGCGTTCCATATAAGCCCAGTACAATACTGCCTTATCCTCCTCAACCAAAGGACCAGAGGAACAAAGCTCAGGGATGCTCTGTTACAGCCCTACTCTGCCTTCTGCAATGTCTAAGAAGATATATGATGTAGACAATACAGGTTTTGAGGTGGCCCGTTAATGTTGAAAGTGTATGGATTTGAGCATCAAAGAACCGGGATTCACATTCTACTTGTGTATGACCTTGGGAAAGTCATTTAACCTCTGTGAACTTGAATTTCATTGCTATAAAGATAAGAATGGAAATTCCTACCCTTCAGAGTGTTGTGAATTAAATAGTATCTGTGAAAGCAGGTGGTAGTACCTCAGCGGTTTGTTTTTGCTTCCGTGCTCGTACTCAGTAGTGTCAAGACCAGTGTCTACCAGGTTTATAAAGGGCTGGGTTGTAGAGGGTTGACGTGTTCCTTCAGCTGTTTACTTCCTCTTGAAATCACTGTCATGAAAACAGTGTAATAGTAAGGATTTAAGTTTTGGGGAAGTAAGTCCTAATTTTTTATGGACTTCTGTGTTGTCAGCTATTTTAACTTGACCAAATTCTTAACTTGACCTTGACTAAGAGATAATAATAAACAGTTTTTAAAAATTCACTAAGAAAGCTGCTTACTGCTATGCTAGAAAAACAAACACCCTTTGTAAAATCTTGGTTGTGGCTACTTCATGGTGACAGGACACTGGAGCAAGATTTTATCACTTATAGTGGACTACCTGGATGTGTTTTCCACGCCAAAGAGAAGGCCAAGGTAGAAGTTTAGTGATGTTCTTGAAGTGTTTGAACAGCTTTTACACATAAAATGATAACTAGCTATTCTTCATCTCTACAGAAAAGAGCAACAGAAAACATAAAGGGCAATGTAAGGGACTTAGCTTACATGTAAGAAGAAACCTCCTGAGAGCATGAGTTATGAGAGTCTCTACTGAATAATCAGAGATAATATGGATGGAATCTTTGTCTCTGGAGGTCTGTGAAAATGGGGTCCATTCTCATCTCTCGGAGGTGTGCTATCTCTTGGGTCAGAAAAATTGTGTCCATTGAAGATCTGCCTAGGCCCGTTATCAGTGATTTCTAGAAATGTATTATGCCCTTCCCATAAGGCACAAAGTACAAAAGAAATAAATTTTCCTTGTAAGGAATACCTGGTTGTTCTGTCTACTTCCATATGATTAGTACCTCTTCCACAGAAAGGCAGTAGCATTGGTAAAGAGCAGGGGATTTTATGTTCTGCTTTTATTAACTCTGTAAACTTGACAAATAGCCTCTTTCAGCCTCATTTTTCTTAACCATAAAAGGAAGGACATCCCTTCCCCAGAAGAATGTTATTATAAGGGTGCCTTAGAAAATGTAAAAGAAAACAAAGCTCTGAAGCACTGTACAAATCTTAGTTTCATAGGATAAGCATAGAAATAAAATGCCCTCCTACCTAAAATAAGACATCTTTCTTGTTCCTTGATTTTTCTAATTTTCTAGTAGATCATGAAACTGGAGTCTAGCCCAGATATCTTATTCTAGGAAGCTGGAACTCTCTCAATACATGTCTCTTAGTAAGGATAGTAATGATTCAAACCAGTGAGAAAGCATGGTTTCTCTTTTGTTCTTTTTATTTTTCATTTTTTCACATTTCCCAAAGTCTGGTTTGAAATCCAAGTGAAATAGATAATTGAGAGTATGAGTCCAATACTCAGAGGAAAGTGTGAGCCAGAAAGATATCTGGAGGTTTATTATGCATACCTTCAATTCAGTTCATCCAAGTATTGATTCAAACAGTTTTGTCTCTTTATAGATAACCTCACCTCCTAATAGTAACTGTTTTCTGTATGCCTCTTTAATCAGCTGTTGACCTACATAACAATAGTTTATACCTTCCTTGTAGCTTTAGCTTTAGTTGTTTTTCCAAATGTTAAAATACTTTTAAAATTACTAAGCAGTTGTTTTTAAAAAATATTCTTCATGTTCATTGCAGAAATATTAAAGTGACCAATAAATGGAATCATCCTTAATGTCTAAAATAATTAAATATGATGGGCTAGTGTGTAGCCTATAGAAATGATAACACAGATATATGTTTACTGAGTTGAAAAGTTGTTCATGATATATTATTAAGTTTTAAAAAAATAAAAGTTATAAAACAATATGTGGAGTTTATCTGATACATATATATGTATGTATGTATCTGATGTATATATTATCTGATAGGTAACATGTATATATATATACTTAAGGAAATTTAAGAAGACTATGTACAAAATGTGAAGATGGTGGGGTTGCAGATGATCTTTTTTTTCTGTTTCCCCTTTTCCTTTTTTCGTGTCTTTATTTTCTAGTTTTTGTATAATAAACATGGTTTACTTGTGTAAATTAAAAGAAGGGAGACGAAGAACAGCCTTCAGTAGTATATCAACCATAAATAAATGTTTTTGTTTTGTCTCTGCAGCAGTTTGGCAAAATCCTAGATGTAGAAATAATCTTTAATGAACGTGGTTCTAAGGTAAGCTCCATTTCGGTATCCAGTGTGCTTGGTTTCTTTTTAGTTTAGTTTTATTTTACATAGTAACTATTCAGAAAATGTAAGCTGTTTTTTAAGCTACAAAAAAGTATCCCAGGTGTCTAGCTTGGATTAAATTGTGTCTGAAAATAAGCTATCCCATAGCCAAACCTTATCCTAATACTTAAGTAATTGGGAGAATAGGAGCAAGAGACGTTTTAGGGAAAAGTGTGGCAGTAAGGAAGTTAGGATGCAGGAGATGCCAGTCCTTTGTCAGACCTAAATTTAGCCTAAGCTTTCTTATTTTAAAGGAAGGTAGAAAAGGCTGAAAAAAGTGAAATTCTATTATAAATTCTATCAGAAAATTCAGCTTTTTAAAATTAAACTTCAAAATGACACCCTTAGAGCAAATTTAATATTTCAGTTATTCAGTTGACTTGGTATCTCTTTTGTATAAATTTTAACTGGGTTTAAATACAGTGAGTAGTGATTCAGGAATTCAACCCATCTCCTCCTCAAAGTTATACCGAGTTAGAGAAACTTCAGGATGTAGAATTGCTTAAATTACAAAATACAGTGAGTTTTTTTTGCATAAGAATGAAAGTAACAATGTCCAATTTGATGTACGTACCCTCTTCTAAAGGTATTCTACAGATAAACTGAAATTTTTAATTAAAATTTATTCTCCTGTATTAATTTGTTTTACTATTTTAAATTCCCAATCTATATGACTTAGGATTTTTATATACTAAAATAAGCCACAGTGTTTTTAGGAATGAGGGAATAGTGTTGTGAAAAAATATTCAATGAACTGAATTTTGGGTAATTTTATTTGAAAGAATTCTTCCTTCTGAGCAGGTGAAATCCACCCTACAGAAACAATCAGCTGTGTCCAAGCCTGTAAATATTTACCTTACTGTGTTCAGTTCTGCTTACATTTTTACATTGAAGTAATTTTTAAATTAATTTTCATTTGGTCATCTCTGCTGAACTATGAGAACAGCTCTTGGCTATGATTAAATCTCCTAAGAATGTCATTTGAGAATTTGACAAAAGCTAAGTAAAGCTAATAAATGGATTAATAGATACCTCTCTTCAATTTCCTACTCCAAATTTACCATACTTCGGGCATTGATAACATATAACTGCAGTGTTATATATGCCTCTTGCCCCAGTCTGTACTAATACAAATGTATGTGGTGTTGTAATGCTCCTGGATCATTGTTCCCTTACCTTATAAAGGTACCAGCACTAAAATGTTTAATACCAACTATAATAGTTATTTGTTAACTCTAACAAGGTAGTTATACTCTAAGCTTCCAGTTTTCAGTTAAAACAAAAATGATTAATATGCTTATACAGTACTTTCTCCAGCACTTGGTAAGTATTTTTAAAGTGAAATCTGTTCAAACTGCAGCCAATAAGACTGTTTATTATATAGTTCCTTTATTGTATAGTTTGCTTTTATTTTTTGTGATCTTCTTAGCTACAAGGTGGAAAAATGACAATGGTTTAAGAGATGGGAAGCATGGAATGTGAAATAAATACGTGAAGATTATTTGACCATATGGTTTATCTAAAGTAGCAGTTTAAATATTTTTGGTTTTAAGTATATGCACTTAAAATATTTTTAACTAGACTCTTAACAACTGGAAGCCCAATATAATTTCATCAGGCATTGAGGACTTGCTCCTTACCAAGACAACAATTTGATTGAATTATTGTGAAGCAAAGGAAAGGATCTTTCTTAAGGCTTCTTTCACTGACTTCAAGGATTTGCCTGCTACCAAAACTTTTTTAAATTTGTGTGATCCAATTGCTTCTTCCCTGTAATTTTCGTTTTAAAATTATGATACAAGTCTTCCTTTTCTCTTTGGGGAATCTTAAGAGCATATGTGCCTCTCTCAGCTTGATGCTGTGTCCTCACTACCCCTTTTTTTCTTTGGGCTGCTAAAGGGCCCACAGACTATGTACCAATTGGTAAATGTTCTAAAAACAAAGCACAGAATTCAAAATTGCTCTGGATCTGTCTTCAAGAACTGATAGAAAACCTTGTCTTTGTCCTTTGCCCTTCTTAACTGTTCCCTGTAGTTCTTTGCTGGAATAGGTTCCCCTGGAACTATTCTGAGGCTTGTGTTATTAGAGGTTTATTCTGGAGTCAAACCCATAGATGTCTTTTCTGGGATCCACCTAAGATAAATTAATGAGTACTTTTCTTTCTGTAAATTAAATTTAGTTTCTCATTTCTTTTATAGTTGAGGTTGACTGCAAAGTTACAAGTCTTGAACCAAAGAAAAAGAAGACATGTGTGGTCCTGTTGCTCAGTCTTTTGAACAGTGTGTTTCTCTGTACAGAAATTAGTTTTATTGATTTTTTTTTGTAGCAGAAATGGAAAAACTAGTCTCAAAGTAATTCTGAGATAAGCAGTGCTTACATGTAAAACAGTGTTTAACCAAATTGCTTCACCCAAAAAGCAACTCTTTATCCTATCTTATTTTAAACAATAGGACTGTGGATCCAGGACTTTAGAATATAAGCATTTGAAAACCTAAGTGAACACTGTTACACTGCTGCCCCCTCCTTGCCTGTTGTCCACCTTTACCAGCTTGCCCATAGAGTAGAATTTCTCTGCTCCAGGAAGTGTTTGTTTCCTTGTTGTTGCTTTCCTTTCTTCTTAACTTTCATGTTCTGGATTTGGCTTACCTAGATTATGGAATGAGTATGTATTATACCTATGCACACACATACATGCATATATATTTAAATTATTTCATGTAATTTAAGAAAAAAATCTCTTTACTCCCCACTGCTTTATAAAAAAAAAAAACACAAAAAGAATTCAGCTGTGTCTAATTTTCTGTGATTAACTGAAACAAAGATAGACTATCCTTTTGAAAATGTACAATTAGACTATGATGAGAAATAGTGCCCCTGCCAAAAACTTAACTAGTTTACTCAGATAGAATCTAGAAAATGATTAGATGGGTACGTATAGCTTTATTGATTCTCCAGTTTTACCAAATATGACAAAGCGTTAACACAAGTAACAAGCAAATAGGTTATAGGTAGACTTGCCATGTCTTAGGTTGTCCAGGATAGTCCCCATTTATGCCCGTTATCTTAGTATAATTATTAATAATGTCCTCTTTCTCCCTCAGAGCATCCCAGTTTGAACAATAAATTATATTGTCACTCTCCTTATAGATCATTTGAGTAATAGCTTTTTAAAAGCACCTTGTTAAAAACCATTATAAAACTAAAGCATGGTGCTTAATGAAATGTAGGGGGAAAAAAATTCCACTACTAATATTCTGTAGTTTTTCTTCGAGTCTTTCTGCTCCTTTGGAATCTTAAACAGAGCCCTAAATAATGGTCACCTTGTTCGACCCCCCGGTATCCTAGACCACGCATTCTCTGCTAGACACTTGTAGTGGCCAAGAGCTTACTGCTTTTCACAGGTTTATTCCATTATTGAACTTCAGACTTCACTGTCCTGTTCACTATCACCCAGCTCCACAACAGTTTGTTTGTGATAATTATCAAGCTGACAGATAAAGAAATGCACAAAGTCTAGTACTAATGTTTCCCATATGATTTTATCAAAATACTTTTGATATTATAGTTGTCCCTTGAAGGGACATGTATTGTAAGTACGGAGTATGTAGATGCTCTTTACCTCTTCAGTCAGTGCCAGTTATTAAGCCCACTAAAGGACTGCATAATAGAGCACAGCAACAATTATCTCCGCGATTGTTTCTAGCAAAGTTTTAGTTAATATGTTCTCATTATTTCTCTCAGGTGGATTTCTGGAACAATAGGGATCTGGGTTTAGGTTGGGCTTAAGTGCAGCTGGAGTTAGGGAAGATAAAACCTCTATTCCCATTCCTCGCACACAAGTAGTGTGCTGTAATTCTTGCCTGTCACTCTGGCTTTTGATTTCATGTGAAAGGAAACTTTATTTCATATGGTCAAAATACTTTCTTTGAAGTTGCGCTAAGTAGGTCTGTGATTTTCAGTAATATTTGATAGATAATGCCGAAGTAAAATGTTTTTCATTATGCTTAAAACAGAATTAACAGTGCATGGATTTCCAAAGGGCTTAGTTTATTTTTCTTTTGTTACCATTTTACAGGTTTTAGTTTTTTTTTTCTTTTATTTATTTTTTAATTTCTGTGTTCTGGCCATACCCAGGAGAACCGTCTGCTTTTGATTTCTCCCTTAAACGTTACATGGTAAATTTTCTTTCTCATTCTTCTGAGATGGAAAAATTCAAAGATTATACAAATAAAAATATTTTTTTTTACAATGCTTATTTTATTGCTTGTCATTTATTGCAGTCTGAGGCCAGACTAAAAAGGTGACGGTTACTCAGCTTCTATATGCCCTTGATTATAAATGGATGTCAAGGCTGGTGATAAAATTGCTGCCGTACTTGCTAGAAGTTTTAATCACAACAATACACCTAATAAACACACCTTTCCTCTGTTTCCAAGAAGCAGATAAGATAGCTGGTAATCACTAATGTAACACTGGTATAGTTACGCTATTAATGTAGAAGGACTTTGGTAGGAGAATAAAGCATATAGACCTCCTCTGTAAGTACAGTGGCCACACTGAGCACTTGGAATGTGGTGAGTCAAAATTGCAACGTGCTGTACGGGAAAAATACTTCAGAGGCTTAGTCAAAAAAGAAGAGTGTGCAGCATCTTATTAATAACATTTTTATATTGATGCTATGTTGAAATGATGCCACATTATATATATTGGATTAAATAACATATTATTAAAATTGATTTTACTTGTTTCTTTCTACTTTTTTAATGTGGCTACTAGAAAATTATAAATTATATATGTGACTCAGTCTGTATTTCTCTTGGGCAGCGCTGATGTAGACAAAATTATCTCAACATCAGTTTTTTAAATTAAAAATAAAAGTTTACTTTTTGTATGTCTTTTTTATTCATGAGAATTTAGATAACAGAAATTTTCCATTTTATGTACCT